AAATCTACTGGACCTTTCACGATTTTTTTCAAAGACCGTTTTCAACAACTATAATTACAAAAAGACCGAGAGAGATTAGTTTTCCTGCAGTAACAATCTGTAATCTTAATCATGTCAGCAAGAAGGAATATGCCAAGGCAACTCGAGCATATGAAGTGAACAAAACCGACGAGCAACTCGAGAGAGATATTCAGCTAACAATGGCGTCAATGCAGAGGAGAGGTAATCAAAGTGATTTAAGCTCAAACGACGAGTTGTCGATGTTCAAGCTTTTAAACGCTTCTGAGAACTATCATCGACGAGGGAATCGACTTCTAAACACTTTGAAACAATACTCGCACAAAATAGAAGGCATGCTGTCGTTCGATTGGATTGAGCCCTGTGTATGGCGAGGAGTTAAATGCTCACCTGCAAATTTCAGTTCCTTTGTCACTTTAAGGATGGGCCAGTGCTTTACCTTCAACTCTGGGGAAAAAGGTCATGAACGTCTAAAGTCTTATATCCCTGGGCCAACGAATGGTTTACGACTTCGCCTGAACGTCGAGGAAGAAGATCATGTCAGTGACTCTACTTCCAACATCGCTGGATTTAAAGTTTCCATACAACATCAAGATGAATATCCAGGTGTGGATGAGTTTGGTTTTGCATTGCAGCCTGGAACCCACACGTTTGCTGCTATTCGAGCATTTAAGGTTAGTGATTTATTCARATCAGACAAGTCCTAGCATTATTTTTCGAACCGAACAAGCTTTATCCATCTAGTGCAATTGTCCATACTCCGAATCACACAAATATTTTGAGGTTTACCGCTATCTCTGAACAGGTTGGAGCTTCATAAGTGAATAAAGAAAAGAGTATGGGAGGAGGGGAAGGAAAAGAATATGTGTGAATGTGAATGTTATACGTCAAGCTGATCATAGCATCTCCTTGTCCTGCAGATGAAAAGGTTAGAAGACCCATACGAAGCAAATTGCAGCTCACCTAAGGATGACATCTCCAAGGCCTACAACAAAACATATTCCGTTAATTCTTGTAGTCTGCTATGTTTCATGAGGTACATTGCACAAGCATGTGGCTGTCAACTGCTGATGGAGATAATCCGTAAGTCCCTCAAAACAGGAATTTTGATGAAACTTGCATTAGTACAGAAGTCTCGATCGATTACCATTACAGTCAAAGACATGAAGCGCGCCCCCTTTAAAACACCATAATTCAATTCATTATTCGGTTTTTGGTCGATTCAACATTACATTATTGAAATCAACGTTAAAACGAAATTTAATTAGATTATTGATCGGATTTTCATAAAGCCTTCTTTGTATTTCGCTTGTAAACATGCTGGTCTTTTGTAATTTCCACAAGTCATTTATGCGTTGCAAAGTTACGAAGTTACAAAGTTACAAAGTTTCGAAGTTACAAGGTTAAATTCTGTTACATTTCTGTCAAGAATATGTCAACAACATGTCAACAAGCCCTTCTACTATTACTATATTATTATTATATACTTTAATTTTATGCGTTAGACATGCCTGAATTGACTATCTTAGTCAAAAAAAACTTAAAAACTATAACTATAAACTAACTAACTATAAAGGGAGAGAACCAGGTCGGTCCTTTCATCGTCATAAACCTTTGGTCAGTGACCCCTGTACGGTGCAAGGGCACCAGGATGCATGGGCACCTTTTAACCATGAAGGGCGCCAGTGTTTGAACAGTGATTACGATTGTATTTGTTATAGCTTTGAGTATCTTAGAAATTCACTTACTGAATTCTTGTGTATATCTTGAGTCACAGGTAGCCCAAGCTATACATTGTAACCGTTTTTTAGTAATTTTGCGAAATATGCTAGTTTAATAAAAAATAAACATCTCTACCTGTTTATTGGGGTTTTCTTTGTATTCCGGTTGAGTTTCAGGCCATTTTGAACTATTTTGAGCCATTTATTGCTATTGTTATCATTCGCTCTAAAAAGAACTGAAGGTAGCTAGGTCAACCCCACAGTGACCGCCAGAAATTAATTTCTAGCTCCTCCGAAAATGTGAATCATGCCAATATTCCCTAGGATTATCTTTGCCAGAGAAACTCTCCATCCACACATGCAATTTCGTTTCGAAACTTCAACGCTATCACAACGAAAACCCGCTGTATTTCGACGATATCGCCGAAGGTCGAGCTCTTTCTCAATGTATACAACACTCATTATACGCTCTATATACCTCAATATAACCTAACCCTATCCCTTACCCTAAACCTAACCCTTTGGGAACCCTGTGTTGTATACATGAATGAAGGTCTAGCCTTGATTAGTTTCCAATTCACTAGGTTTTCTTTGTTATTCATAGGGTTGTATATACCATAGAAACTTAAAGCCGGGGAGGGATTTGATACTTCAGCAGGGAAATGTGAGGTTGATGAATTGAATTGAATAGCTCGTTATAAATTCAGCGGGCTATATATGAGTGACCGGAATCACTCATATAGCCCGCTGAATTTATAACGAGTTATTCAATTCAATTCATCAACCCCACATTTCCCTGGTGAACATCAAATAAACTAAGTAAACTAAACTATTTTTCCCCTAAAAAAGACCAGTGCGGCCAGCAAAACTTGAGGAGATTTAGAGTGTAATAAGTTCGAGTCCCGCAGCTTTTCTTCATATGTTCATCAGAGAATAGAGACAACAATAACCAAGATCTTCGCCGTTACTTTTAAAAGAATCTATTCTTCGGAACTAACCAACGTGTATGAATCAGAAGTAATCGGTGTGACTTGGTCCATTCTATCCAAGCACGTACACACGGCCATTTGGTACTTTAGTTTGTTCCTTCTTGAATCCTTCCCTCGTGTTTTTTCGAGCGAGTTGAACATCAAAAACTATTGTAATTTTTCTCATTTTTTCCCATCTGCAGACTTTGTCATCGTTATTTGCGGGAAGAAGCATGCGGAGTTCCAAATCCGATAGCAAATCGTCGATATCAAAGTTCGTCAAAGGAATAATGTCAAACGCATTTTGAGCTATAAACAAATCGTCACTGTTCGACATCGTTTCCAGAATGACTGYTAAGAATATTTGATAACAATATTCAAATTTCGATTGCTCGCTTTCGCATGAACAGGTTTTCTTAAAGGAAACTAATTTCAACAGTCCATGAAAAAGTCTCAAGAGGAGAGGATTCTATTGTTCGAAACCCAACTAAGAAAACATTCATTAAGTCTATTCAGTTTTTTGCGAAAACCACGTGAATTGAAAACTAAGTTTGTTAGTGTATATAGCGTAATGCCTCCGTTCTCGGTAACTAACTCTTACTAAGTTGATACGATCAGGGTTGGACATTTCATACTGACCCCTCGCCCGCTTAGTCATAATTATAACTTTTTTTCAAAGCAAAGGACCAGGTTCTCTCCCTTATAGTTAGTTAGTTTATAGCCATTTACTCCTTTTTAATTTTCCAGCGGGAAAAGAAGTCTGCTCTCTTAAGGAATCTTTCGAATGTGCCTATCCAAAGATCTATGGTGAGTATACCCTCGGAAACGGTACTTGAAAGTTCTGCAAGGACAACAGTGTAAGCAATTGCAATCATATATGACAGCCTGTTCACCCACAACAAAGACCCACTCCATAAACGAATGCTGCATAGCTGAGATTCATAGCTGCACTAAGTAATGCAATAAAAAGAAATAATTTCACTGTGTATTTGGTAAAAGACTCGGCGGCGAAAAAGCCTTTTTTCTGCCAGGTATGCAAATTTACGGTCCACATACACACCAATACTACGTCTCAGTTAATCCTTCACTTAACATTCTCCTACTTTTTGTTTTTTCCGGTTTTTATTTTAGATTTTTGGCTCATCATTGTATGTAAGTCGGTTTTGGCAAATCCTCACATTACATCGAAAAACTTTAACTTTTCCTTCATCCAACAACACCACATATAAAAATGGATGGATATCCACAAGGTTGCCGCGTGTAGGGTTGAACTCTAAGGCCTTGGAGTATGAAACACGTTTGTCATCCACCATAATGACAACAGTTTATCATCTCAGCCCCCCCAATGAGTAATGTTGAACTGGGTCTATCATGACACCAGGATCAATCCATTTATATTTAATATATACATGTATATTTCTTACACAAAATCACCACTCCACAACACACAAAAACCAGCCCCTCCCTCAACAATAGAGTCCGCTTGCCCAAATACTTCTAAACTATTGGGAGAAAATTCATCGAAATTGTTTAGGGAAACAAATCAGTTATTTATTGTTTAAATTGGCGATATTGGGAAATTGGCAAAACATTGTGTCACGATATTTACCTAGCAGGTTAAGTTAGGGTTTTCTAAAAGGACAACTTTTTCAAGTAATCTATAATTCATTATTTTAGTCACGATAGCAGGGATCGCTGATCTCGGCGTTAACTACCTGGAACAAGCGTTGAGACCAGGAATCGAAAAGTGATGAAAGGTTACTTGTACCAGTTGTACACTTTACTTAACTTTCTAGTTACAGCCAATAATCTCCTGTGTATGTTACCTCATCTTATGACATTTTTACTTTAATCGATTTGTTTGGATTCTGAGTTTTACGGATTATGGATCTGTGAGTTAATAATACACTCATTACCTGTAACAAAAGAATCTTGTAACCGAGCTTATCGTATAAATAGATCTGAGAATCATTGTCACATTAGAGATTTAGAGACCACTCTCCTAGCATTGAGCTTGACTCTTGCTAGTCAAGAGACCAACTAGCGAGTGCTAGCTTGATGTTACAAGATTAAAGCAAGATTTAAACCAGAAATTACTCCGTGCTCTGTATCCAAGTCTCGTGCCGTCTCGTAGGGTAAAAGTTCAGATTACGGGCCCTGCAATTCGAGTCGCTACTACCGAAGCTAGTCCACCCCGACGCTCTGTAATAAACCGCCTAACACTACATCCAAATTATCCTGTAAACTTCAAGTGACAGTATTTCCACCGAAGGAATTTTCGTACATAATATTAAATGGAAATCGTTTCTGTTAAATTCCCCATGGTTTTCTCTGTGGCGATG